GGAGCTGGACGCCTGTCTGTTCTGATACGTGTGAGCGAGTTTGCCGTTTGGTTAGAAACACATCCCGATGGTACAGTAATGGATTACATCGGAGTTCATACATGGTTTGGTGAAGAGTACATAGCGAATGAGCACGCGCATGCACTACATGAATTCATTGAGCATGGGCATGCTTTAGTCCTTGTCGATGGCCTAGATGAAATATCTGCGTTTGAACAGCGCGGAAAAATTGTATATTTACTCCAAACTTTCATGGAGAAATATATATATTCACCAGACTACATATGTGTGGATGATACAGTTCCCATAATTTATTGTCTGACAGGGGTAAACTTACTGCAGTATCCAGAATCTGTTGGTGGTAATCAGATCATCGTTACTTCAAGAATAATTGGTTATACACTTTTTCCCTTAAAGGGAAACCTTCTAAAACATTATTCCTTTTCTCCAATGCAACAGAATGAAGCCGATATATTTGTTGATCAATGGGTTAGCAATCTTAACGAAAGTATTGCGTATCATTTGATGGAAGCGAACCTTTCAAAGGTTGTTGAGAGTAGAAAAATGAAAAATGATAACCAGAAGAAAAAAGCAAATATGAAAGAAATGCTTTGGCGTGGTGGTCATGGAATTTGGTCTCATATTTTCATATTATCTCTTATGTGTCCCATTTTATACAAAGAATCGGAAAACACTAATCTAAACTCGTGTGTTATGATTTATGAAAAAACTATAACGTCGACACTTGATTCGATGATTTCATCGATGCAGATAGAACTAAAACGTTCGGCAGTTGAATGGATATTATGCGATATAGCTGTTTATCTTCACGAGAATTGTCCATCAGGTTTACTCGACACTTTCGATTTGAAGAATTTTTCTCTCATATCTCTTCAAGCATATTATAAACAAAGAGGGGCATCCTTTTCACAAATAATCCTTAGAAATCAATTACATGGATTTCTCGACAAGTTAAAAACAAACATAGGTTTTATTGCTGCGCGAGGTTTAGATGCCTACGGTTTTGCCCACCGTCTTTTTCAAGAATACTTTGTTGCAATATCTCTTGTGAAAACGGTGATCGATGAGCAAGCAAATTTTTCTACTCGACTTGTAGAGCAGATGTTCTATTGTGCTACAAATCCGGCTTACTATGAATCTTTGATGCTGGCCATTGATTATATCTGGTCAACGAGAAGTTCGGATGATTTTGATGCATTTTGTATCGCTTTTATGGAGCAATATACCGTTTCATTACCTTTTGGTGCACTTCTGTTGATCGATATTTTCATAGAGCTTGGCCATTTCCCTTCACTTGATGTCTCATTCCGTTTATTCGACAAATTGCTGTTGGCAACTGTCAATCCAGTGATACAACAGCGTTTAACTAAACTTCTGCATGAGAAAGGTCTCTCAATTCATTTCTTATCTTCGTATTTCTTGCAAACCACGAAAATAGAGCTTCTCTGTTCACTTCTGTGGAGACTTTTAGACAGGATCGTTTCCCATGATAATCATCCCGACTGGTTCAAATGCCTTTGTACCAAATTATTATCTTCGAACTGTGAAACAGCATCTATGGAGACTATGGTAGACTTTACCTTTCGCAAGTTATATGTTCTGGAACTTAAACATAATCCTTGTCCGGAAAATAAGTTATTGTCATTTTTACTGACGAATAGTGTTCATATATCGAGCACACATCCGATTATTTGCTAGGTGCTGATTGCTTTATGCGGTGGCCTCGATCGAAAATTCGAGGATTTCTTTGTAACATCGGCTTATTCAGGCTATCGTCCATTGCGTGATGTCGATTTCTATCCATCTGAGATGCACTGTTTAACTCCTCTCTCGAATGAACTTATTCAGTACTTTATCGACGATTCAATGAGTCCAGATAAGAAAATTGAACGTCTGATCACGCAGTGTAAAAATATTATCACGGCTGCAGATATAAAGGATGTGTCAAAGCGGGTTGTTGATGCGTTTGTCGCTCTGATCTGCCTTCAGAGTATGCGCCAACCGTTAGTGTATGAGCAATTGGGAAAATATGATGCGATGTCGCGTGCTCTTCATCGTTTGAAGCGTATTCTATTTTATCTTCGGGAACTCTACCATGACAAAGAGGAACGCGCTACATGTATTTTCCCAACGAATGATCTTGCTAAAATTTTGCGAGATTTTGAAGGATCCTCAAAAATGACTAGGTCTATCAATCGAGAATTATTTATCGTTGCTGTTTCGATGGCATCTTTGCGCTTGACTTTTCGCGCGCATCGCAAAACAACAGATCCACTGTTGGTTTATCGACAACAAACAAATCTAAAAGTACCTCACACCGCTCTTTTCATGCGCTTATTACTAGCTGAAACAAAGATAACTGAAAACGAAGACAGGGAGTGGAGTCAAAATCATCATCCATTTCAGCGATTTTCTAGCCATGCTCTCTTTCCTATTGTTTTTTTATCACCCCTATTGCAACCGCTGTTTGAACGTTTAATCAAAACAAATCGGCTCGATAGAAGAATGGATGTATATGCGGCGGGAACCTTGCCGTTTGTCCTCTTTTAGTGGAGTTCCTTTTGACTATGCTACGACGTCAAGTTCAGAGCGTTGGCGAAGCTCACCTTTATAAACTATTACCGCTTCTTTCAATGAGTCACTCTATCTGTCAGTATAACATGGAAAGCACTGCTGTAGCTCTTGTTATTGATGCACTTAAACGGAATACGGATGACAGTCATTGGATCGTACAAGAATCCAAAAAAGTATATGGAATCAGTGACATATTCGAAGCTGTTAACGAAGCAATAGAAAAAGAACGCGTACGTGTCCTAAATGGATCACAAATGACCAAAAGATCTGACACGCAGCTGTTTATTTCCTCTTTTGGACTTTCATGCTTATCTAAATTAGCTGTGGATCAAAGTGAAATATTTGCTGAAGCAGTGAAAATAGCACTATCCATACAGGATCCAGTTTTGCACATATTGTCTCTTCGTAACTTAAGAGAAATCGTCCGATATTGGCCTGACACATTTTATTATACTAAAATGCAAAGCGAACTTCATAAAGCTACATGTGATTTATCGCTGGATATGGATCCATTGGTGTGTGTTCTGATTTTCGCGTCATGTTTCGAAGAAGGACAACACTGTCCAATATTGTGGACTCGATGGAAAACGTATTTACTCAGATATTTTGCGACTCAAACCGATGAAGATTGCAAAGTCGCCTTTGGAGCAGTTCGTCATATTTTTCACCAAGATCTAGCGATTCCAAGAACACTCCTTCTATTATCACATGCATCCCAAATATTGCATTTGAACTCATCAATTTTTTGGGACTATTTTCTGCATGGAATATCGTCAGATAATTCAAACTCCCTTCTTCTCTCACAAATGTATCTTGCTGAGATAGCTGTTGACGCTCAAATTCTAGCAAATTTGACGAATGCCGATGCTCCCGCCGCATTAAAAACTGTTAATGAAGAACAATTCACAGCAATGTGGAAGAATGACATATCCGCTCATTATGCAACAGTTTTCACCAATCAATTCGTACAAAAGCCAGTCAGAGAGATATGGCAACTTCCCTTCGATCGTCTCTTTCATTGCAGTATATTCGATAAAGGGGATCGTTTTATGATTGAAAGTTGGTTACGGAATAGTGGAGATGAACATCAATATGAATTTGCACTATGGGCAATTTTCTTATTGCTTAGAAGTGGCGAAGCACTAACAACAAGGATTGCTCAGGAGATAGAGAGTATCTTACTTCTCACATTAGATAGTCCAGTAGACTGTATCCGACGCGCTGCTCGAGCCTGCTTCACGAATGGCGTGCCACCCTATGTTAAAAAAACTGTGCGAATAACATCCTTTCGTTGGAGTTCAACAATATCCATACGTTTGAAGAAATTATGTTTCTGTTCTTTGGCAAAAGCATTTATTTCATGTGTTTTAACTTCGCTAGAACATACACATATGCTTTTGGAATTAGAGTCTCAACGGTCTCAACGTTTATCTCTCACCGCCTCAAATATTGATTACATTGATGAACATGATCATGCTTCATTTCTCATCATGATCGACAGCTGCTCTAACAATGTATCTCTTTATATTGAATCTTGCTTGCGTTCAATTGTTGATAATCTGAAAGTAGCTAAGAATTACAATGCGCAGGATGAATACGTTGAAGCTATAATAATCTATCTTGTGAAAAAATTCACCACTGAACAATGGCACGATGGCATCTTTGAACTCTTGACGATGATCATCTACGAATCCTCTCTTCCTCGATCACAGTGTGCTGCCATTCATGTTCTCAGAACGCAAGAACGAGGAAGAACTATTTTGACCAAGTGTCTGCGTTCTCACTGTGCATTATTAGTGTCGACAGAAACAATGAATGATAGATCAAAACAAATATTATCCAATGATGGTCTTATCGAGTGCTTAGCAGCTCTTACACGACATGTAATCCCATGGAACTCACAGCCGAATTCTGAGCTAATTGAAACTCTCGAAATGTTGAGATGCACGCTACCCGAAGCAGATGCATGTTATCTGTCCCATACGACGACGGATCACGAAACTTTTAGCCAGTAACTGGTCCGACTCAATCTTGATATACGTTATTTATATCGATTGCATGTAATAAACGCCATTTCGCTCCATCGATTGTACTATACTAACGTGTATTTTAACTCACAATATATAAATGAAAATATGTGGTTTAGCAGACTGCAGAACATTTTGACTGAAAATTTTGCAATATTGATTGAATCGTTTTTACTGGATCTATATGCAGCTCTGGACAAATTAAATCATTCGAACGTTATATTGAAAGTTGCACTGGCGGTTTTGTGCAAATACGAGCCCCAATACTTGTTTTTTAAGGCAGTACAGTTAAGCGTAATTGGTAGTAAAAAGTTTTGGGAAAAAATCTATACTGCTAGCATCAATGGTAATGCGCAGAAAAGATGTTTATGCATCCAGTTATATAAAATATTGCGACCCGTAGACAGCAATTTCATCACGATGTTGTTCACCGCATGTCTAGAAGATTATAGTGAAATTCGTCGAGTAAGCTTTGCCTCTATTCAATCCACGGAAGACCGTCAACTAATTGAGTCCATTTTTATTTACTTGACCTCGCCGTCACTCATTCAGCGCTATCTGGCTGCAAAGTGGATCGAATTACTTGTTAAAAAGAATATTCTCTCTATCAAAGAAATGCATGAATTATTGACCATGATTTTAAACGATTCTCGATCACAGCAAGTCGTATATGCACCAGTAAATGAAATCGATGACGATTTCTATCTACTTTCTCGTGAACCGAACCCTGAAACTGGTAGAACTCTCGCTAATAGAATTCATACTCTCTTACTTCGGTGGACATGTCTAGAACATACAGAAAACTGCACATCAGTTTCAGTCCCATCTTTGAATGAGATTGAAATGGAATTTTTTCACGGGTTACGTGCGCCTTTCTATGGTTTCGCTGAACTCTCAGACGACCTGTGAAATAACTGTCGAAACGATGGATACTAGTAAATCGATTCGCATAATAATTTTCAATTTTGCTTTTCTTCTCTTTGTTCATGATTTCTACGTAACTTTTGGGGTTGCGAGTGAGAGGTGTCTGTAAGAGTGAAGGTAGGTGAGTTTACAAGATAATTCCTAGCTACCTGTGACGATCCTTTCAACTTCGCTTAGATAATCATCAGGGTGCGGATGTGGGTGTGGGTGTTGGTGAGTGAGTGTGGGTGTGAGTGAGTGAGTGTGGGTGTGTGGGTGTGTGGGTGTGTGGATGTGGATGGCTGGGTGTAGGTGTAGGAGGTTAAAAAGAAGATCCACACCTCCACCCACACTCATACATTCATACACGCGTCCACACCCACACTCGCCCACACCCACACTCGCTCACACCCACACACACACCCCACACCCACACCCACACCCACACCCACACCCACACTCACACTCACACACACCCCACACCCACATCCACACCCACACCACCCACACCCCAAAAGAAATAATTATTTACGTGCTCTGATGTTGGATGATGATAAAGACGACGCGATGATGTTGGAAACTAAAAAGAAAAAAAATTAATCAATCTTATCGTATGAAAAAGAACTTGTTAACTTACCCCACTGTTATCGTTTCTCTTCACTTTTGAATACCTTAACTGAAAAAGAATATATATAAAAGGAATTTTACCTACTTTCAATATTTATTGACTAAAACAGAAAAGAAAAACAAAATATTAAATAGAACAATGGGGAACTTACCACCCTCCATAGGGTGTGGGTGAGTGTGAGTGTGGATGTGCGCGTGGGTGTAGATGTGCTTGTGAGTGTAGATGTGCGTGTGGGTGTGGGTGTAGCTCTTGTCTTCTTTGACAACCATACCGCACACCCCACACCCACACCTCACATCCCACACCTCACACCCCACACCCACACCCACACCTCACATCCCACACCCACACCCACACCTCACACCTCACACCTCACACCTCACACCCCACACACACACCTCACACCCCACACCCACACCCCACGCCTACACTCCATACTCACACCCCACACCTACACTCCACACTCACACCCCACACCCGCACCCACATCCACACCCACACCCACACCCACACCCAACCACACTCCACACTCACACCCGACACC